TATAAAATTTTATATTGAAATTTAAATTGTTTAAATGTATTAGAATTGGCTGACTGGTGATAAATTATACAACCCATTTTGATATGCAAAAATTAGGGGAATGAGTAGAAACAAATTTATTGTTTTTTTAAAAAATAACTTTTAATAGTGGTTAAGATAATAACAACTATTAAAAATGCTATTTTTAACAGCAATTATTAATATACCCGCTGTTAAAAGTGAGACTTTTAATAACGATTGTTATGATACTTGCTATTAAAAGTCACCTTTTTTTCCACAAAAATTAAATAATGGCCAACTTTTAACAATGGACTTGGAATTGCTATTGAAAATTAATTTTCAACTTCCATTGGACAACTATTGTTGAAAGTCATAGACTTTTAATATTCCCTAAAACAACAATAATTCTATAATTACTGTTAAAAGTATTTTTTATGCGTTATTAAAAGCCTATCATATAATAGTGTCTTATAATTTTTGGTTTTTATAGCAATTAGCTAATAAAAGTAATGCTTTACTTTAATTGGGTTAATTAGGATATTTGGTCATTGAAAGATATTCTTAATTATTTTTTACTTTTGGATTATCACAACTAAATTTTAGGATAATTAAAATGGTAAAGAAATGGTTATGAAACAATTAGAGTATCATAACTCTAGGACACTCAAATTTGTTTTCTTAAAAGTCCATTTGTGGATTGTCAACTCTGACACGCTCTCATCTGAGGTCACCTTCCAATGATTGCCAACTCTATATTATCAAAAAAATTCAGAAATTTTTTAATATTTTGAAACCAATCTTTTATGTTTATCGGTCAAAATTTTAGATTTACAAGTCAATTATGCGTTTTTCATCTTCTGCACTAGTTCATAAAGATAAGATATTCTTTTTAAATTTTTTCTACCATTTTTACAACTAATTTAATAAAATTAAAATTTTATTTTTTAAAAAGTTAAAACCATCAACATTTTCTCAAATAATAATTATTAAAAAAAGTCAAATCCCCTGAAAAAATGGATTTCATTCTTAAAAGTCAAATCTCCCGGCCTTTCATCATCATTTGACTCAGAACAGTGACAAAATTAAATTAAATTATTTCTTAAGACGAAGAAATTTGCTCCACCCAATCTATCCTTTACAAGTCAATTATTATCTTTTATATTTACCAGTCAAAATTTTACATATACAAGGCAATTATGCGTTTTTCATCTTCTGCACTAGTTCATAAAGATCAGATATTCTTTTTTAAATTCTTTCTACCATTTTTACAAGTAGTTTAATAAAATTCAAATTTTATTTTATAAAACTTTAAAACCATCAATATTTTCTCAAATAATAATTATTAAAAAAAATCAAATCCCCTGGACAAATGGATTTTCATTCTTAAAAGTCAAATCTCCCGGCCTTTCATCATCAGTGGACTCGGAACAGTAGCAAAATTAAATTAAATTATTTCTTAGGCCGAAGAAATTTGCTCCACCCAATCTATCAAATGAAAATGATTTTTATTGCTGGAAAGGAATGAAATATAATAAAGTAAAAAAATAAAATTAAATATAAGATGATTAAAATGTGAAGGGAATAAATAAATTATATTCATAAGAGAGAAGGATAATTTAGTTTATGAAATTAGAAGTCATGATTCATAAAGTTTTTGGAGGATGAGATGATTATCACATTTGTGATATATAACATTAAGTTTTATTATGCTTACTATGAGAAGAAAAAATAATTTAATTATTTTTATTTTTATAATCTATTCCATTCATATCTTTTTAGCAACCAAATAAGATTATAGGGTTATAAAAATCAAACAAAAAAGATTAGTAACAACTTGTTTGTAGATTCCTCATTCGGTGCTCAACACCGAATGCTTATCAGGGTTATAAGCAATTATGTCCCTCCATTTCAGCTCAAATTGATCTCACCACCCATTTAAATTAATTTTTAAATATTTTTAATATTATATTTACTAAAATAAAAAATATAAAAAATTTTAATATTAAATCAGACTATTTAGAGTATATTTAAATGGTAAACTTATAAAATTTATAAATTTTTTATTATTAAATTATATCATCTAAATTAGATTTGAACTGTCCAAAGTTTACCTATATAGTCAAATTATAATTTTTTTAATATTAAATTAAATTGTTAGATTAAATTTGTACTCAGATTGATAATGAATAGATATAATAAAATTTTAAATTTTTTATATTAATAAATATAATATTAAAAATATTTTAAAATTAATTTAAATAAATGATAGGGATCAAGTTAGATTGAAATAGAGAATTAGAATTGCTTTAGCTGAGCACGCAAATTCCTTGTTTGCAGTACTAGTCTACTTTTTTTTTTTCTTGGGAGAATTTCCTAAAAAGATCAAGGATGTGACATTATTACAAATAAAATAAATATGAAATTTTACTATAACAATTTGGGTTTGAACTGAAATTAAAATAGTAGGCAAAATGACTGAAAAATAACTTTTTTTTTGAGTTAAAATCTTTACTTTATGCGTTAATTTCATATAGTTTTACTTCTTCAAATCTTTACTTTATATGATAATTTCTTGACAATCACTTGATAACTCAATTATCATACATATTAAATATGTAATGTTACATGTTAATTCTCTATAGTTAATTGTTAAAATATACTTTGCATTTCAATTCCCTAATATCACTTGATAACTTGTTAACTCAATTATCATACTTGTTAAATGCGCGTAATGTTACTTGATAATTTTTTATAGTTAGTTATTAAAACATTTATTTTACATATTAATTTCATAACATTACTTAATATATAACTTAATAACTCAATTACTGTATTTATTAAACTAGTAATGTTAGTTGTTAATTTCCTATAGTCACTTGTTAAAATATTTACTTTACATGATAACTTGTTAACATTTAAAATAAATATTTTAACAAGTAACTATGAGAAATTAACAAGTAACATTATGCATTTAACAAGTATGTTAATTGAGTTTACAAAGTTATCAAGTAGTGTTATGGAATTAACATGTAAAAATAAATATTTTAACAAGTGACTAATAGGAATTAACATTTCAAGTAAATAACTCAAGAAGGTTATTTCAATCATTTTATCTTATATTTTAATTTCAATTCAAGTTTAAATTCCTGCAGCGAAATCTCATATTTTTTTGATACTCCTTTGTAATAATATTACATTCTTGGTCCTTTAATAAACTTCTCCCTTTTTTTCTTTGGATGAAATGGGTTGATTTTAGAAAGCACTGATATTGATAAACACACAGGTTAAAGGAAGAAATTGGCTGGCACGGTAGTCCAACTAAAATGGAGAAGTTAAAGGAAAAAGCAAGCAAGGAGGTAGTAGGGTAGAAAATGACAATTAACATTTAAACAAAAAACAAAAAAGGCTTTGACCACGTGTAAAATTTTATGCACAAATTTAATTTGGAGGGAAATTCTTAAGAATAAAATATAAATTTCCAATTTTGAAGAGAAAGGCTTTGAATAATATATATATATATATATATATATATTTCCAATTTTTATTATTCTAACTAAAATGTTTTTGAAAAAAAAAACAATTGTACCAAACAAAATTGTAATATCACGTTATTTTCTGCAAAAAAATCATTGATAAATATTGAGATAATGAAAGCTTTAGTCTCTCATGTTTGTTTCAGTTATTAATTTGATTCTTAAAATTTAATTTTTTATTAATTTTTTTCTTTAGATTTATTTTAATTATATCCGTTTGATTCTTAGTCTAAATAGGAGGTAACAGTGTTTACATTTGTGTTGACATAGACAATGAAATACTGAGAGCAGTCATTTAAATTAATGAAAAGAAGTGCAACTACTCAAGCAGAAAAACATAAACTCAAATTTTAAAAAATAAAAGAACAAAGCACAGCATAAGGGTATAAATTAATAAAAAATAAAAATATTTGAGGGTTAATTTATTCTCATTTAATTGTATATACATGTCAATTCATCAAAATATTTTACATATTAAATTAATTTATTTTTTAAAACTTAATGAGTTAACATGAAAATTTAATAAAAAATAAAAAATTAAATTTAAAAAATTAAATTGATTATCCAGCGAAATTTGAGGGGTCAAAAGTTTTTTTATCGAAGACAAAAAGCTTAAACTAACATTTGGGATTTGGTCCCCACTTTACTAACGTGTTGGCTCCGTCACTGAATTTAATGACTCAAAACTATTTTTTTTCCTTGAGAAGAAGTTTGCTCATTCCAATTTGTCTATCAGCTGAAAATGATTTTTTCCCATTCACATTTAACTGAGGTACGTAAAATCAGATTGGTCATTAAATCGATCATGGTTTTGAATCATGGGTTAGTGATTTAATCGAGGTTGAACCGGGGATTGAACCGGTGGCAAACCGGTCATGATTAAAATAATACAATTTAAATAAAAAGACATTAATTATAAAAATATTCAATCAAACCCAACCACTCAAAAATCTAACAATAATAAAATACTATATTTTTGAACTTAGCATGCTCTATCTCTAATTTTTCATTTTTTGACTTCAATTTTACTTTTTTTTGTTATCTTTTTTCCGAACTTAGAGCTCTGAAAAATTAAAAATGAAAAAAAAAATCAAAAACGACGTCATTTTGGTAAAAGTCTGAAAAAATATTAATCCGGTTAACCCAGTCAACCCACCGGGTTATCCGGGTTATACCGGGTTGAACCCGGGTTGACCGGGTTATACCGGTTTATTCCCTCACCAGGTTAAGAGCAAACCCAGACCGGACAGGGGACCGGTTCACCGGTTTCCGGGTTGACCCGACCGGTCCGGTCCGGTTTTCAATACCATGCATTTAACTGTGTATAAAAAACATTTATTTGTGTTTAAAAAAGAAAAATCAAAGACGACCCATTAGTGACCACTTGTTTAATTTACCAAGTCATCAAACCCCACGCGCCTACCTAGCACTGGAAATAATAATCATTTTTCTTCATTTCTTTTCAAAGTTTTAGTTGAACATACCCAGGATAGGACCTGTCTGTTCTCTTTAAATCAGATCGAAGACAGAAAATTCCAGAGTTTTAAGGAAACTGACCATGTCTATCATCATTTTCATGCTGTGTTTGTACCTGAACATAGCATATTCAGACGAAAATGTGAATAATGTTGGATTCAGGTATGATGGATACTTCAAGTTGAGTGCAGGCAGTGAGCAAGAGCTCAGACATTCGAATCTGACGGCTAAAGCAATATATGCCGATAGTGGCCTTAGTGAAGCATCGCAAGTCTTTTACAATCTTCCTCTTCGATTCAAGAATTCCAACGCCACTCCTTCTGTCTTCTCTTTCTCTACCACTTTCATCTTTGCAATAGTAGCCACTGATCCTGAATTTCACGGCCATGGACTCGCCTTAGCTATCTCGCCGACTAGAGGTATTCCTCAAGCTCAGCCAAACCAGTATCTTGGCCTATTCAATGCTACCAACAATGGTGAAAGTTACAATCATATTGTTGCAATAGAGCTTGATACTGATGAGGATTTTCAGTTTCATGATATTGATGATAACCATCTTGGAATTGATATAAATGGGTTGGACTCTGTCAATAGTTCTTCAGCGGCATACTATAATGATCGTGGTCGTCTCAGAAAGCTAGATCTTACAAGTGGAGAACCGATGCAGGTTTGGGTTGAATACGACAGTAAAGATCATAAACTCAGTGTCACAATTCATCCCATAAACATACCTAAACCTGAGATTCCTCTTCTCACACTGAAAACAGATCTTTCTTCTATTTTCTCTGAGTTTATGTTTGTTGGGTTCTCATCCTCTACCGACTCAAATTCATCTCATTACATATTGGGTTGGAATTTCAGGATGAACGGTCAAGCTGAGGAGATTAATCTTTCTCGCCTTCCTGACATTCCTGGGATTTTAGATCCAAATGAAATCGGCGGAGGGAAAGGATACAAGAAAGTTTTGATAGTTATATCACCGCTAGTAGTAGGTGTGGTTTTCCTTCTAATCTTGATTTATGGTGCGATCATGATCTCGAGGAGGAGAAAATTCATTCAAGTTCTTGAAGATTGGCAAATCTTGTATGGGCCTCATAGGTTCACTTACAAGGACTTGTTCATTGCAACAAAAGGGTTTAGAGATGGACAACTTCTTGGCAGAGGAGGTTTTGGAAGAGTATACAGAGGAACTCTACCATTTTCCAATGTTCAAATTGCAGTAAAAAGAATTTCTCATGATTCAAGACAAGGAATGAAAGAATTCATAGCAGAAATCGCAACCATCGGTCGTCTCAGGCATCCAAACTTGGTAAGGCTTCTTGGCTATTGCAGAAGAAAAAATGAACTCCTCTTAGTCTATGACTACATGCCTAATGGAAGTCTAGACAAGTTCCTCTACCGCATGCCAAACAGCATACTCAGCTGGAAACAAAGATTCAAGATCATAAAAGATGTGGCATCTGGACTCTTGTATCTTCACCAGCAATGGGTTCAAGTCATCGTCCACAGAGATATCAAACCAGCCAATGTTCTGATTGACAATGACATGAATGCTAGACTGGGAGATTTCGGCCTTGCCAAGCTATGGGACCATGGAAATGATCCTCAAACATCTCATGTGGCAGGAACTCCGGGCTACATAGACCCAGAAATTGTGCAGAGTGGAAAATCAAGCACGTGTACTGATATATATTCATTTGGGGTGTTTCTGTTGGAGGTTGCTTGCGGTAGAAGGCCGATCGAAACTCAAACTTCGCCGGAGAAAGTATTGCTGTTAGAATGGGTTATGGTGTGTTTGGATAAGGGAGACATATGTGAAGCAGTGGACAGCAGATTGGGGGATGAATATGTTGTGGAAGAAGCTGATTTGGTGCTCAAACTTGGGTTGCTCTGCTCACACCCTGTTGCTTCAGCTAGGCCTACGATTTCTACTATAGTGCAAATTTTTGATGGAGATTCTCAGTTGCCTGATAACTTATCAGACTTAATGAAGTTTAGAAAAGTTGGAGGCTGGTCAGGTCAAGGATGTTCTTCATCATTCTCCACCTTTCCTACTGGGCAGACTTCTATTGCTTCAATCACTTTTACAGAACCATTTGCCTCTGATGGCCGCTAGTTGATGAATTACATGTAGTTTCAATACAAATGTAAACTTCACGTAGATGTGTAAATAAACAAAATCATGGGTTTATTTTTATCTACTTTTGGTCTTGCCACTATTATTTTGATAGTTGCATTCAATTCCTTGCAATTTGGTTGTAATATAATAGTATTATTTAATTCTCTTTTGGTGCATTTAGCTTGTCGGCCTAATGTATTTGAATTAATTTGTAACACTAACCTAAGTTTATAATTAAATAAAAATAGTATAACTTAAAAGATAAATATTTAAGAAAAACAAAATTTTGATATAATTTTCAGTATCTATATAATTATAAATTTATATTTTGATATAATATATCTACGTTGACAAGGATTCCGATTGTTAGCAAGTCAAGCCTTTCACATGAGAATCAAATTAGTAAAGGGGAAGGTGGAATACGTGGACAAGAATTAAAGAAGAGCAATAATTTAAGGAGGAAGAAATTTCCAGCTGGTACACAAGGACAAGAATCAAAGGAAATCTAAATTTTAGAGTAAATCGCGCCAAAAGACGTCTGAAGCACATTTTTTTTTTTTACCAACAAAATAAGAAAAAATCTAATTTTAAGCTACAAGTTCGTAGGACTCCAATGAAAATAAATTTATATATCAAAAGACAAAAAACCCCATACCTTTTTTTTTGAAAAATAAAAAAAGTTTACTCACAGTTGTCCACACTGGCTGTCTCTAACAGCCACCAATCACTAGAGACCAACAATTAATAACAAGGCCAATAGCTGAACCACGTAAGTGGTCATTAAACCATTTAAAATCCTCAAGGTCAATGGGGTTTGAAATTGAACTCATAACTTGTGAGCTCACCAAAAAGATAGCAACCATCAAACTACCCGATTACCTTAGTGCTTGTTTGGATATAGATTTAGAATCAATTATTTGGAATGGGGTTGTTAAACCCTCAACAGTTAACACAACTTGTCATTGACTTTCACTTATTAATCTATGCATAATGGTCTGCTGCAAAATAGGAGATATGAAAATTTAAGAATTTGATAAGTTCACTTTGTGTGTGTATTAGCAAGTTTTACTTGCCAATTTAGAAAATCATTTGCAAGCATATCTGAACATTTAAGTTGACTTGTTAAAATCACTACTAGACCTGTCATTTTATTAACTTTTATTTGTTAATTACAAAAGTAATTAGTTGTAAATTGAGAGATTTTAAAATTCATACGAACCCATTTTAACATGTTATTTCACTAAAATTTAATTGTCACTTTACACAAAAAAACTACTAGCCCCAACATATTAGCAATTAAAGTTAACAAAATTATAAGTTGAGTAAATTATTTCCTCCATCTCTATATATAAAATTTTTTTAAAAATTTATTTTATCTTTTAAATATAATAAGTGTCATGATATTTTTGAGTAATCAAATAATTTTATTGTTATCTTAAAAAAAAGAGTTATTAATTACGTGCCTTGCTCAAACACCAAAATGATATTAATTGACATTCTTTGAAGCAAAAATGAAAAATTAATTTGATTTAATAGAATTTAACTAAATAAAAAATATTTATTAATATGTGTAATTCAATTAAACATATCTTATATATAAAAATGGAAGGAGTAAGGCTTAACAAGTTCATTTGATGTCATAATAATCAAGTAATTTTTAAAAATTTATTACTTATGTTATTTTTTTGTTATACAATCAAAGTGGTTTGATTGATTGATGGCTAGATGGTAACTACCCTTTTGTATTCTTTTTTTTTTTTGCATTATATAATTATAAATTTACATGTTAATTGAATATTTGATACGTATACCAGTTGTTTGGTTAATTATATTTCAAACATTAAAGTCAGACAACTTATTGTAGCATGAAAGGAGTGCCAATCAATAATTCCTCCTCTAATAAATATCCAAATGCCTTGACACATGGTAGATACAGGTTGGACTTTCAACGATAAGATCAATCTTTCACCCGTTGCCTCGATTGGTGAAAACCCTAGCCGCAGCAATCGATTGTTTTTCATCATCATCATCATCATCATTATCGCAGAGACGCAGGGGAAAGGGATGGAGAAGCTTATTTATGTTCACGTTCTCAAGATGGGAAAATATTCAAAAAAAGATTTGTACGGTTCGTTTACAATGATGCAGCAAACGACTGGAATGTGATCAAACAAAGAAGCGATGGTGGTGTTGGTGTTAAAATGTCGCGAAATTTTCAAGATGTAGTTACTCTGAACTCCCCAGGCCCTGCTCTTGTGCATACCGGCTGCGAAGCGATTGGTTCCTGCATTTACGTGATCGGTGGGGTTAATGCCCTCTGTGATCGATCTTTTATGGGAGCTCGCGATGGTTCCGGCGAGTTAAGAGAAATTAGCCAACCTGTTGTTTCTATTTATCCCCCAAATTTCTGTGTGTGTTTATCGCTGAGCACAATTGTTGCCTATAGGAGGAAGAAGGCACTTTGTATCAACTAGATTGCAAGAACAATAGCAATTGGAGTGTCTATCAGAAGGATTTACCTTATCCATCAGGTGCCCTCATTGTTTTTAATGATGGGATTCTTTACATCTTTAGTCCTGGGAAGCAATTGACTTACTGCTATATTAGCAACAAGAAGGAACTTTATGTGGTTGACCTTCCCCGATCGTTCTGGTTTTGGTGGCGACAGTTATGAAATCGATCGAATTCATTGTCCTTTCTAAGAATAGGTTCTGCGTCGTATGGGATGCCGACATTGGTGTCATTAATCAAATCCAAGTACATTACATCAGATTCTCAGTCTCTCATCATCTAACTCAGTCCACTTTTGATGTTGAGGAGACGCGGCGCTTCACTGTTGGTGGCTCTAGGCCAAGTTCTGTGGCAGTGTAAGTTGGTCCTCCTGATTGTGTGATTTGGCTTAAATGCATTTACATCATTTCCATTTGAAGTTCCTCTCTTGAATTTGCTTTTGCTCCATGTTTGTTGCATTCTCCCTTTGATTTTTCTTTATTTATTATTTCTAGTATGGATATGGTTCTTTTGAGTTTTTTTCACATTGGATGGATTTTTTACTTTTTTTATTTTTAATTAAAAGCTTATGCTTTGATTTGCACGTGAAACCTCAGTCTTCAATGGCCTAAGAGAAAAATATGGATTTTGTACTATTATCTATGTTTGGTCATGCGCTATATTTGCTTGTATTGCTTAGTTTGCCTCTTTAACAGTTTATTTATTTTTTTTGCTGAGTTTTATATTTTGAGGAAGAAATTATAATACAATGTGCAACTTAAAACCGGAACAGTGAATTGTCTTGTTTGGGTGAATAATCAGAAATGGACCCTCAAGCATTGGTTTATGGTGGTCAATGTCTCCATGATAATTGCTATCGAAGTGGTGTTATTGGTCTCTTCCATGTTTATAACTATCTTCCTTTTTTAGTCCAATGTTTTGACTTTTTTAATTCACGTTTATAGAGGTCCATATTCAGATGAGGCGGACAGCTCGATCGGTGTGATTGTTGCAATCTTTATATTTACATACTGTAAAGTTTGATGGGCTTCACTGATTTTGTTTCCCCAATAGTTAAGGGCAAGCAAGGCTTGATCACCCAAGGTAAAAAGAAAAAAAAAATAAAAGAAAAGAAAAGAAAAAACACTTACAGGCGCAGGAAATATTATGGGGTTTAGTGTTTTGAGCAGTTAACCTCCGTCAATTTTGTTTTTTTATTTTGATAAATTGGCCTACTAGTCCAAATAAATTTTATGTCCAAAATATATGGACTAAATTTTTGAAAAATTAAAAATGTGTCCGATTTATATTGATATGTAAAAAATTTATTATTAATATATAAAAAGTTTATCCTTGGAAATTAGAAAATTTAGGAGGAATTTATCATTTGTGTACAACAATGCATCATTTATAAATATAATAAAAAATATAATAAATGTTGGAATGTTTGCTTAGTGTGTGTTTAGATGAGGGAAAAAGTCAATTCCGCCCTTCAAAATTAATTTGTTCAGCAAATTATCCAAACAATCAAAAAAGGACAAAAATTGATTTTAAGACCATACGCGTGTTTTCCAATAAGCTTTGTCCATAGCTTTTGTCAAAAATTTGTCAAAAATATTGAAAAAAATTACAAAGATAGGTTCAAGATACAAAGAAAGCACATAATTTAATAAAAATAAAATTAGACTTTTTTTTTTTAATAAAATTTGAACTTTGTATCTTTAAAAAATTAATATTTGATATTTAAAAATTAAATTATATAGTAATTTATATAGTTAAAAATTAATTTTGATTAAATTATCCTAACATCTTCAATTTTGTTAAAATTCAATTTTAGAAAAACAATATCCAAACAAATTGTGTTATAACATAATCAATTATAATTAAAATTTGTTACTTAATTAATTATTTTCATAATCTATTATATCTAACTGAAATTCAAACAGGCATTTAGTTTGGTCCTGTGTTATATTTGTAAAAGCCTTGATTTCACTTTTTTGTGGTCAGTTTTTTTAGATTTTTATTTTTATATAATTAGGAAAAGCTGAAAGACTGTGGGCCCATGATTAAAAATTTGATGTGTGACCCATGATTAAAAATTTATTATAAAATAAATAATCTATAAAAAATTCACATATCATGATTTAATTGGATATAATTACCTTAAATATATAATGTTAAATATATAAGTTTCTTCTTAAAAATATATTTTGGTAAAGAAGTGGATTTGAAATTGTAACAACAGAATTACAAATTTAATTTAGCTATTAAAAGGTTGGTGTTCAACTTAATTAATAAATTGGCTTTGTTATTTCGAATGAATGACAAATTCTACATAAAATATTTTCTACTTGTATTTTTAACATGTACAAACTTTTTTTGAGGAATTCTAGATATCTTGTATTGATAAATAGGGCAACCTTTACCTTAATTCATTCTTTCTAGGAGCAATTTTGTACATCCATTAAAGAATTGTCAATTTCATCATGATTTGCTTAAGAGTATTGCATGGGTGCCACAAACCATCTGACCTAGCTTCTTATTGTAATGTTAAAGGGAAAATCTGCCCTAACTTTGTGCTTCAAAATTGGA